TGGACACCAGGCTGCCTGTGGCTGCAGGCCCTAATGGCCAGGACCCGTCACTCATCTCCACCCCAACTCATCTCTGGACTTCAAGTTTGTTTCTTGAAACTTTTTTTTTTTTGAGAGGTTTTTGCTATAGGGCACGTGTGCTCACCAGAAAGCCAGAGAGAGACAGAGAGACAGAAAGTGAGAAATCACCCCCTGGGGTGATGGCCACACTGCAATCCCTTCTCCTCCATTCTCCTCCTGGGATCCTGGGCATGCACACACATGCGCCTGGCATGAGTTTAAGCCACCGGATCCATGACTCAAACTGTGGTCGACTACATGGGAGTCCAGCAACATAGCCATTACGCTAACTGCTGGTCCCTGTTTCTTGAAACTTTAGGATGAACTTGCACCTCCCCCGACCCCATCTGGAGACTGGTTCAAGCCAGCGGATTGCCGGAAACCAGGCTGCCTGTGGCTGCAGGCCCTAATGGCCAGGACCCATTGCTCATCCTCTACCCCTTCCCCACTTGCCTCTGGACTATCAAAATTTCAGTGTTTTTAACAGTGTGGTGTGTGTTGTGCACTGCGTGATTTTTTCTCTGCTCCTGAGGTGAAGCTTACTAAGTCAGTTGGAGGCTCACCACTCCTTAGAAACAGGGAGGACTTTGGATCACCCAGGACCAGTGACAACAGTGCATGGTACTGGTGAGCAACACGTAGGAAGACCAGAAGAGAGATCACCAATTTTCTAATCCTGCACACCTTTTAATGCTCAGAGATACCTTGAATAAGTTAGGAAGGAACATGTAGATCACCAGATGACTAGGAACAATTGCAGAATCAAGAAATATGAGCAACCAACAAAATGCCTCTCCCCCAAGGAAAATCGTCAAGCCGACATCACCCATAGTCAATACAATGGACATGTTGGATAAGCAATTCAGAATATTTATAGTGACCAAACTAACTGAGATGGAAGATAAAAGATACGATGAGCTCCAGGAGATGAGGAAATCCTTTCATGATTTGAAAGAGGAAATACACATCAAAAAAAAAAAAAAAAAAAAAAAAAAAAAAACAACAAATGGAACTTCTAGGGTTGAAGAATGTGATACAGAAAATAAAAACCTCTCTTGAAAGTATTAAAAGTAGATTAGATCAGGTAGAAGATTGACTCTGTAATGTAGAAGACAAAACATCTGACCTAGAAAAAAAGTATCAAGAAGACTGAGAAAACAAACAAGAAAAATGAGGGTAATATATAAAGAATACTTGATACTATTAAGTGCCTCAACATCTGGATAACTGGTATCCCAGAAGAGGAAGAAAATAATAAGGGCATTGCTTACAGCCAGCTGATTTTTGACAAAGGATACCAGTCAATTCATTGGGAAAAGGAAAACCTCTTTAGTAAATGGTGCTGAAAAAACTGGGTATCCACCTGCAGAAAGATGAAACTGAACCCCCATCTTTCACCATTAACAAAAGTCAACTCAAAATGGAACAAAAATCTAAACCTAAGACCTCAAACTATAAAACTACTGGTGGAAAATACTGGAAAACCTCTGGGAGACATTGGAGTAGGCAAAGACTTCTTAAATAAGACTCCCAAAGCACAGGCAATAATCCCTAAAATAGACAGCTGGGACTATATCAGACTAAGAAGTTTCTGCACAGCAAAGGACACAGTAACAAGTGTGAAGCGACAGCCCTCAGGATAGGAGAATATTTTTGTAGAATATGCCTCAGACAAGGGACTGATGACCAGAATACACAGGGAATTCAAACGCTTTACACAAGAAAAAAAAAAATGATTAACCCAATTAAAAGATGGGAAAATAAGCTGAACAAAACAATCTCTCTAAGGAAGACATACGAACAGCCAAAAAAGCATATGAGGAAGTCCTCAGCATCCCTCATCATAAGGGAGATGCAGATTAAAAAAACAATGAGATACCACCTAACCCCTGTCAGAATGATGAAGATTAAAAATATAAAAAGTGATAAGTGTTGGCGGGGATGTGGTGAAAACAGAGGACACTACACTGTTGGTGGGAATGTAAACTGGTTCAGCCACTGTGGAGAACAAAATGGAGGTTCCTCAAAGATCTACAAATGGAACTACCCTTTGATCCAGCAATCTCACTTCTGGGTATCTACCCAAAGGACAGGAGAATGCTCAGTCCGAAAAACTGCTTGCCCATCAACGTTTATTGCAGCATTATTCACAATCGCTAAGACATGGAACCAACCCAAATATCCACAAACTGATGAATAGATGAAAAAAGTATGGCACATATGCTCTATGGAATACCACTCAGCCATAAAAAGCAGCAAGACCCTGGCATTTGATAGAAAGTAGTCAGATATGCAGGGTCTATTGCTGAATGAAACAAGCCAGGATATGAAAAAAAGATGGTGCATGTATCCACTGAATATATACCGACTGTCTGTACTTTATGGTAGAGATCAAAATATTGGAGGGCATAAAAGCAGTGAAAACAGTTAGCAATGATGAAGACAGTGTGGAACGGGACAGGAGAAGAGAAGCATACAGAGAAGGATAGCAAGAGAACAAATAAGCATGGCATTAGTGGGACACAGAAATGGTTTATTACCTGTTGATGATAACTTGTATAGTGTTCTCAACAGGACTGGTCTGAGAAGTATTTCATATTGGGTAAAGTCTTTTAAGTCTCTTTACAAGCAAAATAATAAATAGAGATTGAATGCTTAAAAAATAATTGGAATAATAATAATGATCTGGAAAAAATAATGAAAAGCTATTTGATGATGATGGGGATTTTAATGTCTTTGTATTGACTGATAATGTATGGTATTCCTTCTGGAAAAAGAAATGTAATACACTGTAAAGTTATATGTGATTCAATGTAATATAAGCAAGATTATCATAATAATAAATAAAAATAAGAAAAAAAGAAAGCCACCGGGTTCGGGACTCAAACCACAGTAGGCTACATGGGAGTCCACTGCCCCAACTAGCACACTGCCTGCTGGTCCCAGGACCTGTGACTTTTCAGCCTTAACAAATTCAGCCAGCTCCCCAAAGCAGGCTAAGAACCAACTATGATGCCCCATCATGTGGCTGAAATTTCAAAGGCCCATGTCACTACTACTTCTTCCAAAGCTGTAAAAGTGCAAAACATGGTTTGCTGCCTAAGATAGCTTATCCAGACTAATGCCAATTTATCCTATAGAAAAGGTCAACCCTGAGACCAGAAGATGGCATAATGATTACGTCTCTGGACTCCCATGTAGTCTACTCTAGTTCGAGTCCCAGACCCAGTGGCTTATGTGTACATGCCCAAGATTCCAAGAGGAGAATGGAAGGGATTGTGACATGGTCATGCCCCATGGGGGGTGATTTCTCACTTTCTGTCTCTCTCTGTCTCTCTGGCCACCACACACTCCCTATAGCAAAAATCTCTGTTAAAAAAGAAAAGAAAAGAAGAAGGAGGAGAAGAGTCCAACCCTGCCGTCTACAGTCTTCCCTTATCTAATCTCTACAATTCTATGAACACCATTCACACTCTCTGTTCCAGAATTGACCTGCTCTCTGGGTTGGGCCACTTCATTAACTCTGCGGCTTTAAATACTCTCTATGAGCCAATGACTCTCAGTGTATAACATAGCCTTCTGTCCACCTTCTGAAGAAAACTCAACAGCATACATCCTGGTCTTAGAGAACAAAAGATCTGGTGACACCGCTGGGAACACTGACAAAAATGTAGCTGTCCACTGCACTTTAGACCCTACCCAATACCCTCACTTGGACATCTCACCAGGACCTCAAACTCAACAGGTCCGGAATTGAACGTGATCTATTCTGTCCCAACCCATTCCCCCTCTGTCATTCATTTGTTCAAACTCAAAACCTGAGAGTCTTCTGTGATTCCTCTTTCTTCCTTGACACCATATCTAATCCTCTCTATTCTATCACTGAATGCAGACTCTATCTTCTCCATCCCACTCCCTCCCACGCTACTCCAGGTCACTCTTGTCTCCCCCCACGCCTACTACATGGGTTCTGAACCACCTTTGCATCTCTCTAATCCTCTTCAATACACATTGTGGATAGCTACAAGTGATATTTTTTCTATGTAAATCTCATTCACTTATTCTTTGTGTTTAAACATCGTTTACAGGTATCCTATTACCTGTAATGAATCTTCAAACTCTTTTATTTTTTTTAAAAAAAGTTTACTATAGTATGTGAACTTGCCAGAGAAACAGAGAGAGAGAGAGAGATGGGGAAAGTGAAAAATCACTCCCTGGGGTGATGGGCGCCCTGGAATCCCTTCTCCTCCACTCAGGATTCGGGGCATGCTCATGCATGGCCCGGCATGACTTCCAAGCTGCCAGCTCCGGTACTTGAACTACACAGTTGGCTATAGGGGAACCAGCTGCCTTCACCACCACATCACAGGCTGACTCCGAATCCTCTACGCTAACTGCTGGTTCCCCAAGAATCCTCAAATTCTTAAGAGGACTACCAAGACTCGGGGTGGCCTACCCTTCCCTGCCTCTGCAAACTCACCTTAACTCACTCTCCCGCCCTGCTGGTCTCTCCATTCCAGCACTACAAGGTTTCTCCATGAATTTTCTCAGACCTCCCAGGTCCTCAACTTCAGGGTCTGGGACAGCTTAGATCAGGCCACTTCTCCTTATTGCCTATCCTCTTCTGTTCATCCCTCACTGCTCAGCTTCAACAGCACTCCTCTGGAAATCCCCTCTGGTCCCCAGGCCTAGTAGGGCCCTGGTGGCCCCACATAAACCCCATAGCCCTGGGATCAGCCTGGCATTCTCCTCATAGCACACAGCAGAACAGAGTTTCTGGTCCACCAGCCATTCCACGTTAGGGTGCACATTCCGTGGAGACAGGGATCAGATCCCTATACCTAGTACTCGGCCCAAGGATACAACAAGCACTCCGTCAATATTTGGAGACTACTGATAACTATGAGAATCACTCCCAAGTGGCCCAAGTCCCCACTCACACACAGAGATCTGTGTCCCGGCTGTCCACCTTCTGAAGAAAACTCAACAGCATACATTCTGGTCTTAGAGAACAAAGTATCTGGTGACACCGCTGGGAACATTGACAAAAATGCGGCTGTCGTGGCTCAGTCAGAGCTCAGGAAGGAATAAGTCTCATGTCATGCTGCCTCACACACAGGAAGGACATGAGCTGGTGACATCGGCACGGGGTGTCCCAAGCCTTTGGTCTTGGGTTTCTCTTCCTAGAGTATTTATATCCATCCGGAGAAACCGGCTGACTTCATTAATTATGAGCGTATGTCTACCCAAAGCGGCATCCACCAAATGTATTGAATACCAGGCCTTCTATGGCAGCCCGTGGGGGTTGATACTTGTCAATAGTAACATGAAGTGAATGGCTAAGGTGGAATGCCCGATGCGTGTCTTTCCTTGTCTTCTCAAAGGTGCAAGCTTGTTGCTTTGGTGTATTGCTTCTTTTCACCGAAATGACTACTTTTTAAGTGAAAAAGAGAAGGTTTTGAGGCCCACTGTCACTCGTGATCTGTCCAGGGACAAACAAGTGGCAGCGAAGAATGTAGATTCTGTGTCCAGCGTCTCAACATGAGAACCACTAAGGCTTGGCAGATGTGTGTGTCAAGCACACTTCAAAGCAAATATGAGTTCCCGTACATCTCACATCGCTCTGTGAGGGTGGACCTCCCGTTTTGCAAATAAGGAAACCGAGGCCCGGAGAAGGGAAGTGACTGGCCCAGTTACTAAGCAGCAGAGCGAGAATCTGAAGCCAGGCAGCCCGGCTCCAGAGTCCAGAAGTAGTCATCCCGTGGGGATCCATTCAGCCCAACCACAGCCAACCCAGAGGCCTGCTTCCAGGGTGCTCCAGCCCCTGTTCTGGTCTTCCTTTCTCACACAGGCTACAAAAAGGTGGCAGTCACAGCCCTGGCCTCATGAAGTTCCCGTTTTTTCCCACGGAGTTCAAACAGCATCACACGTGATTTACATTATCACGAGGTAGTACGTCTGGAATGCCATGGGGGGTGAGGAGGAGGGGCTGTGGAGTAGGCTGTCCAAAGAGGTGTGATTTACATTAACACGAGGTAGTACGTCTGGAATGCCATGGGGAGTGAGGGGGAGGGGCTGTGGAGTAGGCTGTCCAAAGAGGGAAAGATCCTGAAGCATTGATCACCAAATCGATCACCCTGCCCTGGGGTGGCCAGGTTCTGTGACTGAGGGCAAATTACCTTCACCGAGGCTCTACTTCCAAATCTGTGAAATGGGGCTCAAGAGGGAGCATTCAGTGAGAAAAGCATGCAAAGCGTCTAGGACAGGCAATGTGTTCCGTATACCCTGGCCACTATTGTTTAGGACAGAGGAGAATGTGATCATCTATTCCTTCACACACATATATCGAGCACTCAGTAACAAGGTACCAGGCTCTGAGCCAGGTGCTGGGGATGCAAAGGAGAACGAGACAGCCACCAGGCTTTCAAAGCACTCACTGTTTGGAGAAAGGCTGTGACATACATTCAGAGAAAGGGACAGCCCTGGGGAAGGTGGCTGCCAGGCAGAGGGAAGCCTGGGTTTCTGCAGAGGGCATCAGAGAAGGTGCCATGGAAGGTGGTGAGGACACAGGGGCAGGCAGAGGGTGCTTCCAGAGTGTGCGAAGCACCGAAGCACTGGCTAGGAGGCAGCTCCAGGTATTCACTCCCGCAGGGCGGATGAATTCAGGATGGCAGGGGAGCATGTGCATTCCAGCTTCCAGGCAGATCCCTCCAATGTTACGGTGCCTACCTCCAAGTCCTCCCTCCAGACCCAGCTCCGGACAGAAGACTAGGTAAACACTGAGGCAGCGAGCTAAGTGGATTCTTTTCTTTTCAGTATCCAGTTAGCCAGACTGGAGATAAAACCGAATTTGTGTCTCATCAAAGAGGCACCAGAGAGTGAAGGAAGGGGAGGGAGAGAGAGAGAGATTATGCAGGGTTTTGTTTTGTTTTGTTTTGTTTTGTTTTGTTTTGTTTTGTTTTGTTTTGTTTTTTGAGAGGTTTTGGCTATAGGGCGCGTGTGCTCGCCAGAAAGACAGAGAAAGACAGAGACAGAAAGCAAGAAATCACCCCCCAGGAAGGATGGCCACACCGTAATTCCTTCTCCTCTGTTCTCCTCTCGGAATCTTGGGCACGCACGCACATGCGCCCGGAGTGAGTTTTAAGTCACTAGGTCCGGGACGCGAACCAAAGTTGACTACGTGGGAGTCCAGCGACATAGCCATTATGCTAACTGCTGGTACTATGCAGGGTTTTTTTTTCTTCTTCTTCAAAGTGTCTCCTGGTACAATCCTGAAGATCTGTCTCCCAGGAGCAGTTTACCCTCCAGCAAATATGACACGTTATCTGCTGCCCTTGTTTGTTAACACACCCCATTACCATCCTTCTCAGTTTCCTGTAACTGCCAGCCTGCATTAACGCCCTCCTCCTCGCCCAGGGAGAAAATAGAAAAGGAAGAATTCAGCAGATTTCCCTCCGTGGCACCCTCGGTGGCAACAAGATAACCAGAGCGGAAACCACAACTGGATCCGTAGGCCTTCAGTCCAGAAATGCAAAGGGCAGACGGTTTAACCATCTTCTGCATTTTCCTGCCAGGAAAAT